AGACTGTGATTTTGTGTGTAGCAGCCATGCACTCAGACAAAAGACTTCATTCTCAAACGCAGACTTCATTTTCTCTTACAGCTAGGTAAGTTCTGGCTAATGTGATGTAATTAGAAACATTCTGTCGGGCTCTCAGGATGTTTCTTTAAAGAGAGTAAGCATGTCCTTCTTTGTCTTTTCATCCATTTTGTTGCCTGGAAAGCAGATTCAATGGCTGGAGCTCCATTAGCCATTTCGGACTATGAGGAGAAGAGATACACTTTAAGGATGGCCAAGAGCTGATACTATGCCTGGACTTTCCACTTCCAGGGAAGTAAAGTTTTTGTTTAAGCCACTGTTCTTTTGAATGTTTATGTTATTTGCAACTGAAGGTTACCCTAAGTAACTCATCTATTCTTCATCTGCATGATCTCTAACTCTTTACATAGCACTTCCAGGGACATTATCTCATTTTCAACACGTAGGAAAATATATCATTTCCTGGGCTGTTTCTAGCTGGTCCTGGTTCCAGGAGAGCCAGGTAGAGGCCAACAACAACCACCAGAGAGCTGTTTACCCACCAAGGTTGAAGACTGAAAAAACTGTAAGCATTTTGACCAGGAGACAAAAGGAAGATGCTGCTTTAATGGCAACTCTGGGGGAAATGGACCTGCTCCATTTTTATGATGCTAGGCCCTGATTCTCAGAGACTCAACCTTTCCACACCTCTCACTTCAAGTGTGTTTTGGTCTCTGGTAAGAGCTTTACATAAATATTGTCTCGTGGATCTTTTTTCCTGAAACAGATTTTCCACAGTGTTTTCATTCCTCACTGATGGGCTGTTGGACTAATCCTCTGTGAAAATTCTTCAGGAGTGGGTCTTGCCCAATCAGTTCTTCAGGAGTTCATCTGCTTTGGGATGGAAATAGTATTTGGTGTCTGCAGTCAGAGTCCTTGAGCTATGGCACGCCAATGCTGCCTGCTCCACTTTGTTCCAAAGTAGCAATTGGCCTACATTCCCCCAGAGTTATTTCTGTAATGTTCTGATTTCACCTCCCTCCATTCCCTAGCACACCCTTCCTTCACCCCACCCCCCACTGGGTTAACTTCCAAAGCTGGGCAGGCATTTTTGCCCAGGTCCCCTTCTTCCTCACTCTTCTAAGAAACCCTGGCAGGACCTGGCTAAGTCTGTGATAGCCGAGCCTGACCCAGCTCTTCCTTGAACCTGCCTGTTCCACCCAAGAAGCTCAGCCACGGCAGGCTGACCCTTAAGAAGCTGGCATTTTGATTCATAGCAGGTGCCCTTGGCGCGGGGGGGGGTGTCTCCAAGCAAAGGAGGCAAACCGCAGTGGTCGAAGCAGAACCCCCTTTCCCGGGGCAGTGGCGAGAGGGGTGGATGGAACTCTGACGGTTTATGGACAATAATGGCTTTTCTTATGTATTATTTATGTTTTTACTCCTGGCAATCCTGTGAGGTATTTAGGGTGAATGTTTTAGATATGATCTCCAAGGATTCGGAGAGGGAGCAGGCACTGACACTTTGACGAGGGCCGGGTGTGAGTTAGGTTCTTGCGCGTGCTGGCATCACAGTGGGCCAGGGACACAGGGTTGGAGTGAATCAGCACTTGGTCTCCCCTAGACCCACCACTGACTGGCGGTGGGGCTTAGACAAGTCAGTAAACCAGGGTGGCTTACTGTAAACTCGGAGCCTCAGACTGTCTCTTCCGCAACGTGGAGGTGCCAGGCCTGGGATCTAACGAGCTCTGGTGCCCGGGGAGGCAGCCAAGCACAGCGGCTACAGCACAGGCTCTGCAGCCAGGCAGCCGCAGGAGGGATCCCAGCATCATCGTTCAACCATCAGGGGACCTTGGCCAAGTCACTGAACTTGCTCTGGGTCTCTTTTCCACATGTGTAAGGTGGTGATGAAAATAGCCCCAGCCTCCAAAAGTTATTATCATGATTAAATGAGAACGCAGGTGTTAAAGGGAAAAAACCACAGGCCCCAAATGGCATCACTCGTGTTAAAAGCCCAAGATACCAAACCTAGATTTAATACCTGATCTAATTGCAGTTTCAACCTCTCCCAGAAACAATCTTAATCAACCAGTAAGGCATTTTCTAGTGAAGCACCAATAAAATAATATGTCACATAGGCCCTCTCCATCCCCCATAGAAAGAAGAGGCCACCTATGTAATAAAAACTCTTCCCCTTCTCTTTCCTCCAAAGAAAAGATGTCCCTGCCCTAAAACAATCCTTTCTTCTCTTCCTGGCTAATAGCTCCCTTGCCCCACCCTGCTTCCGTTTTGTACAACCGCTTGGAGCACCCTTCTAGTTGCTAGTTGGGATGCTGCTGCAATCCTTTAATAAAATCAATTACATCTTCAGGTTTACTTGATTAAATTTTGTGGGGGGTTTTTTGACACAGGTAAACTGTCTTGTGTTCCATAAATAGTAGCTTTTATTAAAAATATTATTTTCATCATTACTATCTGAAAAGGATATTCTAATGTCCTGGGATAAAAGAACCATCCGCTTTGCCCACCCACCTACCTGGAATGGAAATCACTCAATTAATGAGCCTTTTCTTCAGCCGTCTGGCAGCTTTTCAGCCCCTGCTTTTGTGCTGAGAGCTGCCCAGCTGGGCTGGCTTGGCCTCTGAGGCTCTTCCACTGCCCCGTTGCCGATCTGGTTTCTTTCACCCTTATAAAAGGCCCTCGCAGAGCTGCCTAGAAGAGCCAACGTCTCCAGGGTCCCCAGGGACAGAGAACCAGCCCAGGGTGGCCATGGCTGCTTTCTTACCTTGTCTGGTCCCACCAGCTTCTCCTCCCCTCCAACTGTCTCCTAGGACTCACTCCTTCTGAGGAATGTGGGCCGGTCTGAGCCCCTGGAGTCTGACTGGTGAGGTGCATACCTGGGTACCTGGCTCCCTTGGGCATCTTCTCCTCCAATCATAAGAACCTCAACAAGGATTCACAGCAGCCAGGTGGGCTTCTATTGCTCCAGGCCCACACAATTGTTGGCTTCCTTGGCTTCTAATTTGTGCAAATTTTTCTTTTCACTGCCTAGAATGGTGTAGACTGTAGGGGGTCAGAGTACCAGCTTCAAGGGCAGTGGCCCTAGTTCAAAGGCCTATATTTATTTACACTGCCTGGCATGTACATATGAGCCAGGCACTATATGGAGCACGGTGCCAAGTGCTTTACAGGAATTAGAATTATCTCACGAACCCTCATAACATCTCCATCAGATAACTACTCCTGACAGACAAGGGTATGCAGGCACAGAGTGGTCAAGTAACTCGCTCAAGCAGCACAGCATATGGGGTCTGTGATAGCAAGGAAGGAGTGCCCGGGAGGGGAGGAGAGAAGGGGAAAACGGTGAAGGAGGAAGATTACTTCACAGTCTAGCCCAGAACCTGACTTATAACTGATTTAGCCACATCCCTCCCTAGAGGCGGTCAGCAAGCATTGAAGGGAAGGTTTATGAAGATGCCAAAAGGGCCCTTCCCCAGGAAAAACACATCCTAACAGGCTCGGCAGACAAGATGGGAAGAGGTATGTTATTTCTGTGGGGGAGCAGGAAGCCAGCAAGGATGCCTTTCTGGTCACTAGCAACCATTTAATTCAGAACCTGGGTTTGGATCCCAAAGGAGCTCAGGCCTCTGGACTCATGAACACATAAGCTGAATGCAGCCTTACGGGTAGTAAGGCCGTGAAGGCGGTGTCCCTGATTCCTGTGGCTGCCAGTTAGTTTTAATTTTTGAATGAACAACTTCACATGCGAGAGCCGTGGTCCCACCGACAACTGTAACCTTCAGCAGAGGTTTTCCTATTTCTTCCGATAGGCGATTTCCACACCCTCTCAGGGTGTCAGCAGTTTCCTCTCCCGGCCCTGAGAGAACCTGCGTGTCCCTCTCCTGGCTTCCTTCCTGGCTTCCTGTGTGCTAAGCCTCTGGCGGTTGTCATCGCGTCTCCAGAATGCACTTGATAGGTACAGGAAGCTGCACCAGACGGGAGATGAAACCAGCAATCAATAAAAAAGAGAACTATGTTTCTAAGAAAAATGCATCACTGGCTTCCCGCAGGAGTTATGTACCATATGTTCTAATAACCGTGGAACAATGGATCTGATTTTTAGCTCTTCTGCTTGGCTTTCCTGGCCAACAGCAAAAAAAGAGAATAGACCTTTTTAACCTGCCGCTGCCCAGCTGACCGACGACTTGTAAGTAAACGATCGCCTTCCCTTTTAACCCTTTCATCGGGTATCACAAAACAGGGCCTCTCCCTCCTCTCCTTCCCGCTTGCTTTCTCCTGGCTACTAGCTTAGTATATTTATGGTGCATGAGTCACCGAGCCGCCGCCTGATTGGGCAGGAACCGAGCACCCCTGAGACCATCAGTCAATTACAGCTATTCTCAGCTTCATTCACAGATTTATTAGCTTGCACACACAGAGAAATTCATTCAGCAAAGTTCATTCATAAAAATTTCAGCACCG